AGGTAATTGTCATCAGCTCGGATGATGATGGTGGGGAAGAAGGTTCAAGTGTTAGCTTCGAGTGAAGAGTTTGGCTTTGTTGCATGTGTAGGTTTGTACGTATATATGTATAGTGCTTTTTGTAAGGGATGAATTTTGTGACGCTTAACCAATTCTGTATCATGTAGAAAACTCCCGTTGGCAAGTTATGTGTTTTTTGTATTTTGTTAAGCGGAGCCTCGAACATCTGTCAAGAATGGCAGGCACCATTTGTCAGGAACGACAGATGAATTGGCGGGGTTTACTGGGAAATTTTCTGTGTATGTAGTAAGCATATTCATATAACATGTATTTTGGGTGAAAGAACACAACCTCATGTGTACATTCAACGTAGTTTGTGAACATTGCGGACAGCGCTATGTGTTAAAAATGATGTGTTCGTAATATGCATTTCAAAGGAAACTTGTATAATGGTTGAACTTTTCATTTTCCGTACATTCAATTTACATGTGTCAACAATGGCAACAATGTTATGCACAACAAAATTGTATTTTGGTTCGAGGCTGTTATGCAGTACGTTGTGCCTATTTGCATACTGTAAATGTTAACATAACAAAGAGTAATGTTTATGCGTAAGAGAATGAAAACAGTAATACAATATTTACATTGTCATATACAAACGACATCAGGGGAACACTTCACTTACAACTTCAACCACTCACGTACAAAATGCTGCTTACATCGGACGTGCTACAGTGTGGTTCGAACATGTGGTCCGGTTATGACCAAGTCCACCTCAACGAGTGCATTTCCTGAGCCGTGTGGTACACTCGTGTCTGGATTGCTTACGTTGTGTGGGTGGTCTACCTGGAGGACGACGTACACTGGGGGGCATAATATGAGTACCTGTAATTTTGGCTGTAACAATCCAGTCCACTTTACGCAAAACAGGATATATAGCTTCTCCATAGGCACCCTTCCAGTACTCGGATGTGTAATACAGTGAGTAGAGATCATACAATGACTTACCTCTGAAGCAAGTAGCAGGGTTACATGAACGCACGGCATACGATTCAGTTGGAACTCACGACAAGTGCACGTGTTTTCGGAGAAGTCTAAGATGTCTGTGTCGTTGGATATTCCAACTTATGTTAAGTTATCTGTCAAGCCATGCGCTCGTAGCCTAGTACCTGCTTCGAACGTTGTCCGTAACTCATTCTCCATCGTTGGTGACAGTACGGTACTACATGCAGTTGCACTTGCTCGATGTTCATAAAACCACTTCTGCATACTATGTCGAATGTGTTCTACTGAGCACGTGATCGGTAACGAACGAGCATGTCTCAATATTGAGTTCAAAGATTATATGTTGTTATTGGTCAAAATGTTGTACCGTTGGCCAACAAATAATGCTCGTGACCAAAATGGGAAACCTGCTCGCTCCAAGTACCCGTACGCTCTTGCACTTACCCTACGAAGTTGTCCCATAAGTCTTTCAAAATCTTCGGTCCGGTAAGTTCTTGCGACTCTTTTAAATAGAAATATTGAACTTGTGTTGTTGTACCACTGGATTAAATTTTTTTCCATATGCCAGACACAGCACCCGTCGTGAGCCCGGGGAAATAGGTGGGCAATAGCGTTTTCAATACTATTTTTCCTATCAGAAACAAGCACCAATTCGTTCGAGTCACCTATAAGATCTTTCAAATTTGATAAAAACCACATCCACGATCTATTCGTTTCGGCATCAACGATCCCCCACGCTAACGGATAAATCTGTTTGTTGGCGTCTTGGGCAGTTGCCAGTAGAAGGGTGCCTTTGTATGGACCTTTCAAGTGACTGCCGTCAACACAAATAACAGTCCTCAGGTAGTGCAGGTAACCCCGAATGCTTGCACCGAAAGCTAGGAAAAGGTAGTGAAACTTGTTACGAGAATCTACTTCGATGTGCGTTACTGTTCCCGGGTTACTCTCTCTTAGGAGGTGATAGTAGGAAGAAAGTTTTTGAAAGCTATCACCAGGTGTACCGTGTAGCATATGTAAAGCAGCGACCTTTCCCCTACGTGCTTTATGGTAACTAATTTTCACACCAAACTCACGTTCCATGTCACGTGCAATAGCGGTAGGATCATACGATGCGTATGTATTATCCAATTTCCCCATAATCTGCTTGGTAATTACGGAACTAGTGGCATGTTCATGTGCATTACGACGATAATCTATGGAACATGTGTGCACATTTTTGAATTTGCGGATCATGAAGATGGCGGACTGCTTGACACTGGAAGCACGTAACATCCACTTACAATTATCGTCCGCACATACAATGGTTAACATTTTTAAGCTTGACCTACTAACCTGAAATTGAAACTTCTCTCGCAAAGCAAGTAGATGAATTCTCGAGTACAACTGTTTCTTGGTAAAAAAAATTTGCCTTTCGATAAGATCTGACATATTCACAGTGGAAATCCAGTCGCATATATCCGAACTTTTGGAAGGTTATAATAGTTCTTCGTCAACGTCAGCAATATTACCAGTATTTGTACCATGTAAGGGATCGTCGAACATCTCATCTAATGGTGCAGTCCCAACATCGAAAATTAGAGTATCCACTGCATTATCGTTTGGGACACTCTGCTGATGATTGAGCTCGTCGTTTTGTAAGGTTTGGTGATCTTCCACTACGACGAACAATTGTTGGCTGTAATTTGTATCCCTCTCCATTTAAACACTTAGCAGGCCGGTTTTCAAAGTCGTAATGCAGATGGCAGTTTCCTTTTGAATTGACATGTACCAATTTACGTCTTCATCTTCGAGTATTTCGGTCGACGGTATATTCATGTTCGGAACTTTGAACTTCAATTCCATTTTTGTGCGCGGATCGAGAACACCAAGTTCTCATTCAACCGTAACAATATCTCCGGTAGTGTAATACTGCTCGGCACTAAAATGGAAGTGGTTTTGTCCCCAGTCCACTTCCATTCATCATTCACGTGAACGAACTTTCCCTCATACGACACGATGAATCTCAAATTATTGTTCATACCTGAAATATTGGGATTGCAAAGATAAGAATTATGTGCAATCAATATATCGATTATATACTAGCATGGAAGTGATACGATCGAATATTTAAACCTATGCAATAGTACAAGGTCAAATGAAGGGTGTCAAGAATTTTTAGCTGCCCAATTCGACAGTTTATTTATCTATCCCAGTAGCTTATAATCATTTCTCAACTACAACATCACAACCTATTTCCAAAATTAAATGACTGAATGCTTCGTTAAATATGAAATACTTCACATTTTCCTAAATATTTTTGGTATGTTTTTCCTTCAAAACTATTAAAACAACAAGACCATGATAATTAATAGTAGTGATTACTATGTTGTTTTCAACATTTTAAAAAGAGTAGGCTATTACACAAAAATATAAATAATTCGTAATAACTCACCTTTCAAGATAGATGAAGAAGATGGATGAAATAATGTCTTCTTGATGAAAAAGAAAATAGATGAAGAAGATGAATGAAATAAGAGTTTGTTTAACAACAAATTTGTTTTTCTATGTTAATTAGTGTTTTGAAGGATTTTATATTCATTTTTTTATTAACTAAATTCATATTTTACAATTTAATATTCATATATTCAAATATTATAATATAAAAATTAATCAATCAAATCACAACATTAATTGTTTTGAAAAACAATCATGAAGAAGCATTAAATGCTTCAAAAGAGATCAAATTAAGGGAAATTTAGACATTTGACAATAAGAAAGTGACATTTTTGTACAAATTGTGTGCACATCAAATTTTTTAGTGCATTTTTTAAAAAAAGTGAAATTTTGGTAAATTCTCCTAAATTTAATATGGCGTTGCAACAATATATTGCTACATCAAAGAAAGAAAAAAAAATTTAAATAAATTTTAGAATCCTTGGAAGGCAATGTTGCAACATGGAAAATTCATAATGACATTTTCAATTTAAATTGCTAAATAGTGAACATCATTAATTTGTTGTTATATAACATAATCACCAAAATGTGTGATACTCATAGATAAACCCTTTTAAAAAAATGCTCGATTTCATATGTTAATATTAAGTAGAATAACATAAACAAATGTACATTCATTTAGAGGATGTAATGATTATTTCAATCTCAAATCTTAGACCACAACAAGAATACATGGTTAAAACTTAACCTTTTAAATTTCAAAACTATAGGTCAATATTTAAATTTGTCGTACTAGTTTATTTTATTCTCAAATCTTAGAATCCATTTGATCCAATTTCAATTTCAAAAATTAATATCCTTAGCTCATATTATTCAGTACTATTACTTTAAAACACAAAATATACAATATGATATGGTTTCTCACATTTACAGAGAGCGGAACTGGGTTGTAGACTTGCTTGCTTCAAAGGGTTGGGATCACCGACGTTATCAGGAGTATGAACCATCTGACCTACCATGACTGGTTAGTACACTGGCGTAGATCGACGGACATGGATTGCCCAACTCTAGAGGTTTGTAGCTTAGGTTCCTTTTTTGCATTTATTCCACTGTACAGAGAAGTAGTGCTTCCATATTTATTGCCTTAATTTATTTTTTTATTCATTTATTGCATTATTACTTTTTCAGAGGTCAAGTTTTGTCCCCACTTTCCCTATATTCTTGATTTTTATTATATATATATATGGTTGGCGAACCCTTAACCCTCATCGACCTTCCTTGGTGGACCTTATAAAGTTGCTAAGGATGTGTGGATGTCTTTATTGGGGGGGGGGGGGAATTAAAATTTTNNNGGGGAAGAGAGGCTATCTTACTTAAACTTTTTCGTGGATATTGCTTAGTTTGAAAATTTTGCTTGCATCGTAATAAAATCACTTCTGATTTACAAAACTACATATCGTCAACTAAAATTGTGAAGCGAGAATTTTGAAACATTGTAGAAGTTGAAAATGACGAATGAATTGTTAAAATGAGAAGAGGGGAACCAGCCACGGGGTACTTTATATAGGGGTTGGGAATTAATTACAAAGAATGGCCATTGATATTAATATTAAAACTAATGAATACAAATTGACATAAAGAATTTTCAAGTTCTGCTGGAAATCATTGAAAATAAGCTCCCCATGAAGATCATATAATCCGCACGTAAAAGTTCTTTTAAATTAAAACACAATCATTTAACTTTCACATTGTGCACCAAAAATCATGAAAAATTGGTACCTTTAAAGCCTTTCAACATTTTTCCTTCATATACCATAACTTAATATCTGAAAATTTCAATTTACTCGAACTATCTCAGATAATATCTAAAACTCCAAATGGTTCATGAAAATTCCCAAAGTGAACCAAATATATACTTTTGCACAATGTGAGACTTACTTTAAAAATAAAAAAATAAAATAATAATAATAATAATAGAATTGTTTGGTTCAAAAAACCTCAATTCATAAAATTTTCTTACACTTTCACTTTAGTCCTTTCGGGTTGTAAAATTGCAAAATAATCCTTAAACTTGTAAAAAATGCATAAATGCACCTAAACCTCAAAATATTATGTTATGATCTCCTCGTAATGAAAAACTGACATCTATAAATCATAAACATGCAACATTTTTTCTAAATTGTAATGTGGTCCCTGAACCTTTTCAAATATTGTAATTAAGTGCCAATTGCTTTTCAATGCTCAAAAAATTCATATAATTTCTAATTAGTTCCTTGAGTTCGTCACTAATTCTACTTATTCTTATTTTCTATAACTTTCACTTTGACCCCTCAATAATTGAAATATTTCCAATATTGTCCTTAAATTTTCGAACATTGCACTTTAGTCCCAATAAGAACTTCGGGGTATTACAATATACATATGGTTGTTTTCCTTTGAAGCTATGCATTGTGTACTTACTAATATTTATTTGTAATAATTTTTTTTTTCTTTTAGATGTATATTTGTATAGTATGAGTAATGATATAAATTATCATTATCATTGTTACCATAATATAATTTACAATGTAAATAGGAAGCTTGGTTTGCACATGAATTTCTAGACATTATAATCATATCTATTGTGATATAATGACAACGTTAAGAAGGGTGATCAAATGGTTTAGATGAATGTGCAAAAGAGAAATTTTATATTTTTTTGTATGGGTATAAATTATTGAAAATCGGCACATGTTTGAGTCTTATTTTTTTTTAAATCATTTTTTTTCAAATTTATTTTTAATAATACATATATGTAACTCAAATATTTTTTATTCTTTTTGATCATATATTCTCCAAAAAAATACAATTAAAAATCTATTTCCCTAAAAAGAGTGCTCAAACAAAGCCTTAGTACATCATTCGTATTCTTTTATTGTGTATCTAATAGTGAGTTAATTGTTCTAATAGTAATTGAACTAAGGTCCATATCTTTAATTGGTCATTGAAATTTAAATTATGAGTTTTGGTAACTGAAATTAGATCAATGTCTTCGATTGCTCACTAAAGTTTAAAATGTCGAGTTTTAGTCATGAATTTTTAAAAAATGTAGTACATTACTCACTTTAAATTTGACATTTTTAAAGTTCAACATTTATATTAGTGAGTGACGTACAATATTTTCCAAAATTCAGTTACCAAAATTCGATATTTTAAATTTCAATGAGTAATCAAAGACACGAACATGAGTTCAGTGACTATTGGAACAATTAATTAAAT